TGGAACGGTAAGACCATGGGATCAAAGGGCCCCCGGAGGCCTCTGATGCAGTTATAGATGAAGAAACTGAGGCCTAAGGAGGTGGAGTGACTTGCCAAAGCTTGCAAAGCGTAAAGCACTTTATAAATGTCAGCCGCCATCATCATCACCATGGTGGGCTTTAGTTAGTGTTTGTTAAGTTGAATCCATTCCAGACCTGCGAGACAGCAAAGGTATGGTTGAAAAAGGCTAGAAATAAATACATAAAAGAAATGGTGAGAAGCTCAGTCTGACTAAAACCCAGGAGCCTGAAGGAAGTGAGAGGAGGCAAGGCTAGAAATACTGGCAGAAGCCCAATTATGAAGAGCCTTAAATAACAAGCAAGATGATTTGTATTGATTTACTTGCATGGTATTTTCACTCAGCAAATTTCTTCACAAGGCTGTGAAATAGGTAGTCCAAGCCTTCTGCCCATGTCCCAGATGAAGAAACTCTGCAGAAGGATTACAGGACCAGCCAATTCTCACAAAACCAACACACGATGTCAGAGGAAGGACTAAGACCTAACTAGAGTCTTCTAACAACCAAACCGGGGTTTTTACCCAGATGGTGTGGAAGTGGCTGCCCTGACCCACGAATGAAAAGGATACTCTGAGCTGGAGAAGGAGGCAAGGAGTCTGGACAGGAGACTATGACAAAAGCCTACGCAAGGGAGAATGTGGGCCTAAATTATGAAGGTTCAGTTTGAACACTGGCAGATTTAAGAGATATGACATAGCAAAATGTTCAAATTCATCTGTGGTAATGAGATCTTGTTGCAAGAAACATTACTTGAGGGAGGGCTATGAGGCGCAGTGGACAGAACATTGGCCCAGGAGTCAGGAGGAGCTGAGTTCAAATGCAACCTCAGACACTTATACTAGTTGTATGACCCTAGGCAAGTCACTTAACCCCAATTGCCTTAAACCAAAAAAAAAAAAAAAAAAAGTCCATATCTGGGGCAGCTAGGTGGCACAGTGGATAGAACTCCAGCCTTGGAGTCAGGAGAACCTGAGTTCAAATTTGACCTCAGACCTGTGTGACCCTGGGCAAGTCACTTAACTCTGATTGCCTCACTAAAAAAAAAAAATATATATATTGCTTGAAATAAATGGACCAGCCAAGTCTTGGAATTCTTCTTGCTATACTGAATTTCATCATAATTGTATTCATTGTAATGAGTTCTAACTAGGTTGTGCAGTGGATAGAGCATTGGGCCTGAAGTCAGGAAGACTTGTCTTCTTGAGTTTAAATCTGGCCTCAAATACTTACTACCTGTGTGACACTGGGCAAGTCACTCAACCCTATTTGCCTCAGTTTCCTCATCTGTAAAATGAGCTAGAGAAGGAAATGGCAAACCATTCCAGTATCTTTGCCAAGAAAATCCCAAAATGGGGTCGCAAAGAGTTGGACACAACTGAAAAAGGAATGAACAACCACCAAGCACAGTTCAGAGAATGCTAAACTGGCTACTACTTGTGTCCAGGCCATTGTTAATTGCTACGTGAAGCCATCACTGCATTGGAGACTATACTTCCCACCTCTGAAAAGCCTTCCAAGACTAAACCTACTTTAGGCTGATCCCTTATTCTCCCACACCTCCTCATATGGTATATAGTATGTACCATTACTATACACTTGCTTAGATGCTACTATCTAACCACTTTATATCTGTACATAAACCATATCCCCAAACTGACAAGATTTATCTTATATTCACCTTGCATTCTGACGGGACTTCACAATTTACAAAGCTTTTTCACCTACATGACCCTCTCAATAACCCTGCAAAGTAGGTACCTATTCAATCCCCAGTTGACAGAGGAGGAAACTAAGGTTCTAAGTATCTTGTCAAAGCAGGGCCTAAAACCTGGGTCTTCTGACTGCTTCTCCAGCCTTCTCTCTATTCTCTGACTGTTCGCATCCCACTGCACCAGATTTAGATCGAGAATTCAAAAACGCTGGTGAAGGAAGGATCAGGATAAAAGGGGTTCATCAATTTCTGGTTTGACTTCTAGTCTAAGTATGATCAAGGGAGGTAACTTAGATAGAGCCTCCCTTAAGAAAAAGGAGTAAAGAAGGTGGGGAGGTAAGGCCTCTGGCCTCTTAGGGCAGTTAATCATTAGTGTATCCTTTCCATACCAGGCAGCTGATTAACCAACCTCCGTCCTGGAATTCAGCTCTAAACAGCCTCAGTCCCCACAAGTACCATTATTTCAGCCCAAGGTGGAAAACAGTTTACCACAATATAAAGTTGGAACTCCTAGCTCACCCAGAGTTTCATTAAGTCACTTGTCTTGAGTACCCAGTTTCTTCCTGCTAAATGAGGGAGCTGGACTAAATGATCTCTAATACTAGCTGGGACATCAAGGTGGTGCAGTGGATGGAGCCAGGAAGACTCATCTTCCTGAGTTCACATCCAGCCTCAGGCACTTCCTAGCTGTGTGACCCTGGGCAAGTCACTTAACACTGTTTGCCTCAGCTTCCTCATCTGTAAAATGAGCTGGAAAAGGAAATAGCAAACCATTCCAGTATCTTTGCCAGGAAAATGGGGTCACAAAGAACCAACCATACATGACTGAAATAACTAAACAACAAGCCTTTAGAAGAAGGCAGCTAAATGGTTCAGTGGATAGAGAGCTGGGCCTAGAGCCGAGAGCCCCCTGAACTCAGGAAGACCTGAGTTCAAATCCAGCCTCAGACACTAGCTAGCTGTGTGACCCTGGGCAAGTCACTTAACCCTCTTTGCCTCAGCTTCCGCATCTGTAAAATGAACTGGAGAAGGAAATAGCAAACTACTCTATCTTTGCCAAGAAAACCCCAAAATGAGGTCACAAAGAGTTACATACAACTAAAATGAAACAACAGTAATAACAGCTAACATTGGATATAGCAATCACACACTTGCAGAACTTCCAAAGTACAAGTATTTCATTTATGATTCAAGAAAATGGCCTGTTCCTGGTCACACAGTAAGAGTCACAAACATTACAGCAACAGATCACAGATGAGTATGTATGTATATATAGAGACGCACATGTATTTTTACCTGTCTGTGCATATGCCATCTCCTCCTAGCAGCATATAAGCCCCTTGAGGGCAGGCATTGGGTCACTTTTGTACCTGTATTTAAGGCATACAGGACACAGTTTCTTAAGCATAGCAGGCATTTAACAAATACTTGGGTCAACTGATCCTATGAACCACAGGACATAAGAGCTAGAAGGGAGGCACCTAATTATGAGGGAAAATAACTCACATTTCTATAGCACCGAAATGTAGATGAAAAGCCCCAAGGCAGGGAGCCAAAGAGTATCATCCCACCTTCCAGAGGAGAACACTAAGGCCCAGAGAAATAAAACCTTTTGTTCAGGGTTCACACAGCTAGAGAAGGAACCCAGAGTTCAACCAAACCCCTCTGATTTCAATTCCCACATTAATGCCATTAACATCATCCTTCCCCACTGTACAGATGAGGAAACTGAGCCCCAGAGACATGAACTGACTTGTGGAAGGTCATGGGCTGCAACCAGCTCCAGAGATAGAGGACAGAGCTCCCCTCTCTGCTGTGTTCTACCTGTCTGTTCTGGGACAGGTCATTTAACCGCCCTCAGCCTCAGTTTCCTACTCTGCAAAATAGAATGAGAAAGGCAAAATATCCAGATAGACTCTGAACTTCTGTTCAGTATTAGACTTATGAACCTATGATCACCTCCAGACCCCATTAGGGGAAATGACTTACCCATGGCCACACACAACAACATTAATTACAGCAGGCATTCTATAGAAGCCTTTAGAGCTCACAGAGTGCTTTATACGAGGTTTGGCATGATATGGTATATGTTACATATGGTGGCAAGGTATGCTATGCAATTATGAGGTGTGATGTGGTATGATGTTATATGTTATGATGCAGTATGATATTGTCATGCATTAACCCATGTGCTATATGTTGTGATATGTTAAATGTGTTATATGTATTGTGTGTTATATATGTTACGTGTTAGGTTATGCTGCTGTGTTGTTTGTTATATTGCTATATTACATATTATAATTTGTTATATGTTATGGTTGTGTTATGCTGTTATAAGTTGTATTATGCAATTTTATGTTATGCTGTATATGTTGTGTTCTATGTTATGCTCTGTAGTGTTGCATGTTATGGTGGGTTATACTATGTTATATCATGTGGCATGTTGTAGTATATTGTTAAGCTAAATTATATGTTATGCTATGATATGTTACGGTATATTATATGGCATGCTATATTATGATATGCTGTCCAGCGCTGGTCAGTGTATTATAATGTGTTGTGCTATACTGTTATGACACGTTATATGGTGTATGATATTAGGCTATAGCTTGTTATGTTTATATTATTATGTTATGTTATATGTTACAATGTGTTATGTTATACCGTGTTATATGTTGTTATGTTGGGGCAGCTAGGTGGCCCAAGGGATAGAGCGCTGGGCCCAAAATCAGGAAGACCTGAGCTCAAGTCCAGCCTCAGTCAGACACGAGCTGTGTGACCCTGGGCAAGTCACATGGCCCTGCTTGCCTCAGTATCCTCATCTGTAAAATGAGCCAGAGAAGGAAATGGCAAACCACTCCAGTATCTTTGCCAAGAAAACCCCCAAAGGGGTCACAAAGAGTCAGACACGACTGACAAACTACTAAACAACAACAACAACAACATTTTAAGTTGAGACTTGTTGCACTAAGTTACGGAGCAGCTGAGCGGCGCAATGGATAGAACTGCTGGCCATGGAACTGGGAAGACCCGAGTTCAAATTCGAGAGCTGTGTCACCCTGGACAAGTCACTTCAGTCGGCCTCCATTTTCTCATCTGTAAAATGGGGGAAATTACAGCCCGACCTCCCAAGGCGGCGGGGAGGGGCACGAGCTCCACGCGGCCGCGGCCGCCCCCGCCCCCCGCCCCGGCTCTCGCCCGGCCGGCCGGCCCCGCCCCCAGCCCTTACCGCCGATGATGGTGCGGATGAGGGAGGCGTGCCCGGGGCAGTCCACCAGAGTGAACTGCAGCTGCCCGGCCCCGGCCCCGGCCCCGGCCTCGGGCCCCGGCCCCGGCCCCGCCTGCAGGCGCGCCGGCAGCGGCACCGCGAAGCACGAGAAGCCCAGGTCCAGGGTGATGCCGCGCTCACGGCTCTGCGGCTGCTTGTCGAAGGCGGCCGTGGACGCCGTGGTGCTCAGCGCCCGGGCCAGCGCCGTCTTGCCGCTGTCGATGTGGCCCAGGACGCCCACGTTCACGTTCACTCGCCGCCCGGCCATGGCGCTGCTCCCGCTGCCCCCGCTGCCCGGGAGACCACCCGGTCCCACCCGCAAAGCGGCCCCGCAGCAGCGCGGCCCCGGCTCGTCCGTTCCGCCCCTGCCTCTGCCTCTGCCCCGCCCGCCCGCGGGCCACGCGCCCGCTGGGCTCCGCGCTCGGACCCGCCCAGCCCGGCCGGCCGGGACCGTGCCCACGTGCCCGGTCGGGTATTGGTCGGGGCGGGCCGTGTTAATCGGGAAGAGCGCGCGGAGAGTGCCGGGAGGAACGAGGAAGTGGGCATTTTTGCAGTTACCTTCTTGTTTTATCAGTCATGATAGCTGGCATTTGTGTATATGCACCTTTAAGGTGTGGTGTGCAAAGAACTCTGACAAATCTATCCGATTTTTGTATTGTCTCATACAAAGTTGAGATAAAAATGTTATGTCTTTACAAGTGTCTATTATTGTCCGCATTTTATAGATGAGGAAACTGAGCTAGAAAGAAGCTAAATGGCTTATCCAGGGTCACACAGCCAAGAAGCATCTGAGGCTTAATGTGAACTCAGGTCTTCCTGATTGCATGTCCAGCTACTTCTCCACCTAGCAAAGCTGCTGAATCCAACATGCTGGAAGGCACCTCAATTCCCCTTGACGACACTACTAGATTCCCCCTTAATGTTAGTACCTTTCCTCTGTTGGTTACCTACGATTGGTCCTGTGCGTGTGTTCCTGTATGCATAATGTATCATAATTGTGATATACATTATGGTATAATATAATGTGATGTAATAATGTGTTATTCTACATTGTATCTTTATAATATGTTATTAATATATCATTAATATGTAATGTATTATAGATTACATTATTATATGTATGTAGTTGTTTTCATATTGTCTCCCGCATTAGGCTTTGAGCTCCTTGAGAGCAGGGACTATTCAGTTTATACCTTTTTTTGCATTTCTAGCACTTAGCATTGTGCCTGGCACATAGTAGGTGCTTCATAAATACTTATTGGCCAACTGACTAGAGAGGAGCAACCCAAAATATTCCAAAGGCCAGGAAACTCAACAAGCATTTACTGAGTGCCCATTCTGTGCCAAGAATGTTAAGAATGCAAAGACAAGGAGACAGAGCTAAGATGGCAGAGTGATAAGAACCAAAGCAGTGAGCTGTCCTCCATAAGCCCCAGATGGAATCCTGATAGGAAAATCCAGAAAAAGTCACGAGTCCTTTGTCCTGCCCAGATGAGCACAGGGACACAAGATAGGTAGGTCTGCAGACACTAAAGATAGAGTCAGACTGGGAGTGCTCTAGCACCCAAGGAGAGACCATGAACTGGGGCAGGCGGAGGGCCCCCGACACACAGGGGCAGCCCTCCCACCAGGACCCATACTGAGGAAAACTAGCGGCATTGTCTCCTTCTATCCAGTCTTGGGTCGAAGATCCTGTGTGGAGTGAAAAGGAGCACAATCATGGACACAGAAAGGAAGGCCTTGGTTGGTGTCCAGAGGAAAAAGGAAGTTCAGAAGCCATCAGCAACAGTGATGTGACTCAGGCCTCAGCACAAAGTTGGGTCTCCTTCCAATGTCTAGCTCAGCAAAGGAATAAACATTGCAAGAATTCCAAACCAAAGGGGAGCCTCCAATTCTGACACTCTCAGAAGACAGAGCTTTCCAGCTAGCTGATAAGCGCTAGGTCCAGTTGCATCTACTCTTGTTCAAACATAATCCCAGATTAGGAATTTGCAGAGTTTGGGACCAAGGAGATAACAATTAGACTTTGCCCTGGATCAGATCAGGCACTGAAAGTGTGCAGTTCCACAGCCTGTCCCTGAAATTCTGGAATAACGCGATATTAGCTACCCCCAAGAAAGCAGCGACAGGACCAGCCCAGACCTTCTCTCCAGAGGTGCCTCAGATCCTGGCCCTAACATCAAGCCTAAAGTCAGAAATTAGACTAGAAGAATAGGCAAACAAACAAACAAAAAACCACCAGAATGACTCTCAAGACACAAAAGCAGAAGAGAAGGACGCCAAAACATTTACAAGCAGTGCATGTCAAAAAAAAAAAACAAAAAAAACACAGCTTGGGCACAAACTCCACTAGAACTCTTGGAAGAGATGAAGCAAGAGTTTAAAGGGAAAGAGGGAATTTTAAAAGGTTTTTATAAATTGAATGAAAGCATTTAAGGGAAAAAATGGAAGAGAAATGAGAGCCATGAAAGAAGGAATTGGAAAGGAAATTAACAGTTTAGCACAAGAAGTACAAAACCTTGCCCAAACAACAAATTACCTCAGAATTGAATGGATCAAATAGAAGCTGATGATTCCAGAAGGCACCAAGAAATATTAAAATGTAATGAAATATTAAAATGTCAAAAGGCTGAAAAAATAGAAGAAAATGTAAGTTATCTCCTCCAAAAAAAAAAACTGACCTGGGAAACAGATCAAAGAGAAAAAAATTTATCTGAATGCAATAACCGAAAAAGAGAAGCTAGATATCCTATTCCAAGAGATCTTAAAAGAAAACTGCTCAAGTCTTTTAGAACTGGAGGGCAAAGTGGAAATAAAAAGAATCCCTTGGTCACCTCCTGAAAGAAATTCCAAAATAAAAACTCTCAGGAACATCATAGACAAAATCCAGAGCTTCAAGGTCAAAGAAAAAATACTTTAGAAGAACTAAAGTATTGAGGGGCCACAGTCAAGATCACGTATGATTTAGCAGCCACTACTATAAAGAAGCAGAGAACTTGGAATGTGATACTCCAAAAGGTGAAGGATAAAGGCTTACAGCCAAGAATAACTTACTTAACAAAATCAAGTACAATGCTACAAGGGAAAAAAATAGACCTTTAATGAAATAGAAGACTTCCAAGCATTCCTTTTGATGTCTCCATTCTTACCATTGTAGATGGAATCTTTGAAATCCAGTTCACAGCTGGAGCTTACCACTTGAGTGGGGAGGACTTTGACAACTACAAGGACCATCATGTCATTGCTTAGTTCAATCAAAAGCACAAGAAGGACGTTAGGGAAGACAAGGGAACTATTCACCAACTTCACCAACTATGCACCATTTGTGTATCTGAGAAGCATACTCTGTCTTCCAGTACCCAGTCCAGGACTGAGAGTGATTCCCTCCATGAAGGTATCAACTTCTTTTACCCATGGCCATTTTGAAGAGCTGAATGCTGACTGACCTCTGTGCCCATTTTGAAGAACTGAATGCTGACCTCTCCCATGGCACACTGAGCCCTGTGGATAAAGAGTCCCAAGGTATAGCAAAACAGATAAGTCACAGATTTATGATGTTGTCTTGGTGGGTGGCTCCACTTGTACCCCCAAGATCTAAAAACTTCTGCAAGTCTTCTTCAAGGGCAAAGAATTAAACAAGGGTATCAATCCTGATAATGAGGCTGTTGCTTATGGTGCAGCTGTCCAGGCTGCCATCTTGTCTGGTAAAAAAAAAAAATGAGAATGTGCAGGACTTGCTACTTTGGGATGTTCATCCTCTATCCCTTGGAAATGACAAAACAATAACAAAAGATAACAGCCTACTTGGTAATTTGAGCTCACAGCAAATCTGCCTATCCCTAGGGGTGTTCCTTGGATTGAAATAACCTTTGACATTGATGCAATGGCATCCTCAATTATCTGCTGCAGATTAGAGAGTAAGATCACCATTGCCAATGACAAAGGTTGCCTAAGTAAAAAAGACATGGAGCATGTGGTCCAGGGAGCTGAGAAATACAAAGCTGAAGATGAGAAGAAGACAGACAAGATGTCTCTTATATGCTTTCAACATGGTGGTTACATTGGGGGATGAGAAACTCTAAGGCAAAATTGGTGATGCAGACAAACAAAGATCCTTGACAAATGTAATGAAATAATCATCTGCCAAAAAAGAACCAGACTGATGAAAAGGAAGAATCTGAGCAGAAAGAATCAGAGACAGTCTGCAAGCCCATCGTTGGGCTAGACAGAATGCAGGGGGGCATGTGGATTCCTAGGGTGGTGGAGCAGCCCCATCCTGAGGTGTTTCTTCTGGACCCACCATTAAAGAGGTCAACTAAACACACCAGAAGAGAAAGCATTCCACAACAGCTTTTCAAAAACTAAAGGACTCGAATGTGTAGCCAAGGCAGTTGTCATTTAAAAGTAACATTTCAGCTACTATGTAAATCTGGGGCATTCTGAATAGTTGAATGTGTGCAGGGGAGAGAAGTGAACATTACATTTTGTCAGTATTGTAAACAAGTGCAAATGCAATTCTTGTTCTGGAGAATAAAATCTATTTAAACTTGGCACCAAAAATAAAATCAAATCCAGGACAATGATTCATATCCCCTCTGATCTCTATCATTATCAGGATTCATAGAGGTAATGCAATTAGACAAGTGCTGGGAATGGTTCTGTTATGTCTTGATGATCTTAAGGAAAGAGAGAGGAAGAATATACTGGGGCCGAAGTAAAGGAAGGTTGGGGAAAGTAATCTCACATAAGGAGGGTGCACAAGTGAACATGTACACAAACAAGGAGAAGGGGGTGAAGAGACTTGGCTCGCAATTGAACCGTATTCTCATTTGAACTGTTTAAAAGAAGGAAGAATACACACATCTTTACACAGTTGGATACAGAAATAACTGTAATGCAACAGTGTAATACGGACAGGGAAGAAGAGAAGGGGAATTAGAGGAAAGATAGACTAAGGAAGGGGTTGGTCCTGAGCAAAACAAATTCTAAGGATATACAAAAATATTTTAACTCTTTGAGAATGGGAATCTGAGAGGGTATCCATAAATTGGGGACTGGATGAACCAGTTATGGTGTATCAATGTGATGGAATACTATAGTGCTGAACTCTTAGAGTAATGACCAACCAGGACTGTTGATCCAAAAGGACTAATGATGAGACGTGCTGCTACTCACCTCCTGGTAGAGAGGGGGAAGACTTGGAATTCAGAATGAGACAAATAGTTTTGAGGACATGGCCAGTGTCGAAATTTGTTTTGATTGACAAAA